GTCATCAAATTTCTTCATTGCAATGGTCAGCTTGTTGTCTCTCTCTTGTTCGTCACCAGCACCTATCTCATCAAGCTTGTCCCAGATTTCCTTAGCAGTCCTGCACTTCTTTATTCTATTGAAATATCTTTCATCAATAGCTTTGTAGAGAATGTCCTTGGCAATGTTGTCAAGGTTGTACTGTCTTTTCTCTTCCTTGGTCCACTCAGACCTGGTCTTCTCTATCATCTGAAGCAGATTGTTGTCTAAGGTATGGGCAGGGTTGACCTTCATGAATTGGATAAAAGGTCCATTCTCCAAGACTTCCCACATTTCATCATGCAGGGCACAGAGATGAGCTTTCATCCGAATCTTCCAGTCATCATATTTTTGATCTGTGAACATCAGGTGCTTGGCAAGAGAGTTATCCATGATAATAAGTAAGTAGAGGCTAAGAACAAGTGGATCTTTTGTTCAGAGAGTAACCTAAAAGATTACAAGAACAAGGAGGCTCTGATACCACTTGTTGGTCCCGTTTAATATGGTAATCAGTCTAGAGGGGGGGGTGAATAGACTGATTGGTTTTTCAAATTTTCTCTAAGTCCAAAGTGACTTATCAGAGAAGGTCTGATTCTGGTGACAGAGAGAGGCTGGTTCTGATATCAGAACTGGCCTTGGCAGCGGATTCTGATCTGTCCGGGTAGCCTCAGAAACACTAAGGCAAATGTCTTTCTGATAACTCTGAAAACAAGATCTGCTGAACACAGATTCCAAGTTTTAGAGTTAATCAGTTAATATCCTAAATGCAGAAATGTAAATGACACCGGATATTTTTATAGTGGTTCAAGGAACAACGCGTTCCTCTAGTCCACTGTTCCACTAGCTTTGAAGTAGATCGGTTACAAAGCTAATTCCTAGCACTTAAGAAGCACTCCTCGTCTTCTTCAAGTCTAGATGCCACCCAGGATGCAATTCCACGTCCTGATGGCTGGTCCTTTCACTCAGCTTCCCGGAAGTATCACCACTTCACTACTGCAGTTACTTGGACGCCCTTCTTTTCAGAAGATCCTTTGAAAAACAAAGTTTTTCCTCCAACTTGCTTCGTCACAAATGATGTTTGATGAAGTTCTTGAAGAGTTGAAGAACAGGATGAACTTCGCTCGTTGTTGGGGATGAAAGATTTAGAGTTTGAATCTTCCCAACGTAGGACTTTTCTTGTAGTGTTATGAAGTTTGAATCTCAAGAAGTATGTTCAGAGTTTAATGAATGGAGCAAAAGTTCTGCGAAGAGTTGTTTTCCTGTTCTTCGTTGAGTAGCTTATATACTGAGGTTGTCTGCCCGTTGGAGGAGGAGACAACTGCATTAAATGCGCGTACAGTTGACTTGACCGCCGTTTTGGAAGGTTTCTATTTTTATAATATATCTTCCCGGATTCCTTGGTCAATCATTTGCAATCAGTCCTTCAGCGTATCAGGCTCATTTAATGTGCATTAAATGCTTTCCTTTCATGCACAGTCTTCTAGCCGTTGGATGTTTTTACCCGTTGGATTCATAGCTGTTGGATGTTGCTTGAAATCTTCTAAGTGTTAGTCGGGCTCTGATCAGGTTCTTCTGATGTGTTGGATTCTGATGGCTTTCTGAGTTCTGATGGCTTTCTGACGAGCTGAGTTCTGATGGCTTTCTGATTTCTGACTGAACTCAAACTCTGACTCTGATAGGTCCGCTGATGAGTACCTCTGATCTGTAACTCTCATCGGTTATCAGATGTCCAAGTTTATCAGCAACTCTCATGGTGCAACTCTGATGGACTTCTCATAGAGCAAGTCTGGTCGAGCAATTCTGATGCACTTCTGATCTGATCCAAAGCAGAGCAACTCTGATTGTCGACTACACTAATACTTACAATTGAAAATTCTAATACATAAAATCTAATTGGTGGTACTCTAACTTTCTAATCCTATAGCATCATCAAAATCTAATTACATTTATTCCTTACACAATTCTTTAGTTCCACTTCCTTTCTTCCCGAGACCCTAGTGTGTAGTGCTCATCCATTTCAGTAACATTTGATTTCTTTTTGCCAAGAATGGTGGTAACCTGGAAATATGCAACTAGTGTAAGATTAGGAAAACAATAAACATAGGTCTACTTATGTTCCAAATGTCTCTTGTAATCTTTCTATGGGTAGTATTAAAATGTATCCTTCCCAAAAATATCAACATTGGGCTATGCCCTCTTGATTATTATTCCTGGGGCGATGCGGAGAATACCTTCAAGTGTAGTGGTTGCTTAAATCCATTATGAACGAAATGGTTTGAAGTTAATACCCATTTGTGCCATGATTTATGATGCCCGATTTCACATTATTTTTAGTAGACATGTTTCTTCATTTCAAGATTTTTTTGTTTGGAAGCAAACCTAGTCTTTGGATGTGTATTAGAGGAATCAGAACTGATATGCTTCTTGGGTTGGATGAGAGTATGGCTTTAGAGCGAGCAAAGTGGAGGGTGCATATTCTTGTGGAGGATTGATATCTTTTCTCTTGTTTTCTTTTTTCTTTTTATCTACTTTATCCTTCTTATGTTCTTATTTTATTTTTATCTTCTATCTTTCTTATGTTCTTTTACCTTACCTTTATCTTTATCTCTATCTTATCCTTTTTATCTTACCTCATCTTTTTATTTTTCTTATTTTTCTTTTCCTTTTGGCTCCAATATCATGGATTGATTCATGTTAGCCGTCCCCAAAATCTTTTAGGAATAAGGCGTGGATGTTGTTGTTTGTTGGAAGCAAACCTAGTCTTCACTCAAAAACAAGATATCTCATTTTATTTACTAATGTTTAAATTAACAAAATTGAAGGTGCTGCTGTAGACCTTCATAGGAAATATAACATAGTCTACTGGCGGATCACTTGAACATCAGGATCGACAAGCATGCCTCTTGACTAAAGAAAACCGCAAGGCTTCCAGATAGTCAATCGGGTAAAATGGGTCAGAGGGCCAAACTTTTAGACGAGCAACCAGGTTAAAGACTCACATGCTGTTGGGGTGGATTTTGAGACTAACAACCGCATAAACCAAGTGACCGAAACCTGCTCTGCTACCATGATAGGGTTATGATTGGGTTGGAATCACTCAACTAGCCACTTGAGCCAAACCACATTAAAAATTTGAATCCAATCTCTTAGTGCCAAGGCCTTATAAACTCATTATTCTATTTATAATTTTATGATATGAGACTCTAACAATGCGGTTGATCCATATGTAGAGCCTTTTGGCCACCTAAGTACAAGAACTACAATAACAACCAAGCCTTTATCCCAATTCATTGAAAATCCCTGAGATCATCCACTGAAATCCCCTTTTTTATTCTTTTTTGTCGTGTACAATTTGCTCATTAAGCCCCAACGCTTTGATGTCCCATTGATGTCCTTTTTTACAACTTCAGTTGCAGTCATTTTCAGTCTACCTGTCCTCTCAAAGTCTCTACCACTTTTAAGATTACAGTCTCAAAATTACTTCTAGACGACATACATGCCCATACGGCCATACCAATGTAACCACTGCCTCTCTTTATCTTCAATAGCCGTTCTCTCAATTTATCTTCAATAGCCATGACCCCTAGTTTTCCATCATTTGCAATGAGCCAAAGATTCAGGCTTTGTTTGCAACCACTTGTGCTTAAATAAAAGCACTTTTTGAGAAAACGTGATTAGTAGTAAAAGTTGGTAGTGTTTGGTAAAATAAGTGCTTTTTGTGTAATAGAAAAAGTAAAAAGTAGATTCTACACGAAAACCGAGATAGTAAAAGTTGGTAGTGTTTGGTAAAATAAGTGCTTTTTTCTTAAAAAAAGCCAAAAGCACTTATAAATAGAGTTTGCAAACAGAGCCTCATTGTTTTTTGGCTTGAGAATATGATGGAACAAAGCAAAATGGCTCACCAAACTGGCTGCTCTTCTTTGTTATGAAGCAACAGTTAGTCCATGCAATTTTGGATGCGATTTTCATTATGGGTCATCCGGAAACAGTATCTCTGTGCTTTAGTGCAGGGGTAAGACTGCGTACATCCGACCCCTCCTTACCCCACCGTAGGTGGGAGCCTTTGCGGCAGTGTGGTAAATGATGATTGATTTTTTTTCTTAGCCATGACCCCTAGTTCTGGCAAATCTCCCTGTTTGCACTCTATCGTTTCTAGTCTTACTACCCAACTCTAACAAATATGAGGATGATATCCTCCACAAAGAATATACTGTAGCTTTTGATTATCACAAAAATGCATAATGAGAGTTTTCTTGACCATAAAACAAAATTAGATATTTATTTCAATATTTTCAGTGCTTATATTTCATTCTTATATGCCTTCTTTCCTTCTTTCTCTTCCTTGTTTCTTCCTTCTCTTCTGGTTTTTGCGCCCTGATTGGCTGCACCACCTTCTCATATAGTTTCATTTGGTTTAATTCATACACAATACATATTTCTATTGTGGTAGTTTGAAAATAGTGTTCTATACTTCTATAGACTGTGTTTTTAAGCATGTACCTTGCATGAGTAAAGTGAGTGTTTTCCCTGCTTCTCTCGTTTCAGGCGATATAGTACTCTTTGTATCTTACATTATAGCCTTTTGATTCAAGTTGTCACATAAAGTTTATATTTTATAGGGAAAAGGGTCAGATATGCCCTCTAACTTACCTAAAAAGGTCAAATAAGCCCTTATATAGGAGGCTCTGTCCTGCCGTCGCCGTTTGGGGCGGTTCCCGGTGGAATTTTTTAATGTATTTTTTTGAACATGTGCTCTTTTACATTTAAATTTTATGGAATCTATTACTCATTGCTTGTTCATGTAATTTGCTTTTCAAACTTCTGGAATAGTCTCCTTTGTGATATTTCGATGCACAACATAGAATTTGGAAGATGAATGCTCATGTTATGACAATTTTCTTCAGATTTTTAGTAATATGTGTATCAATGTTGTTTAGATCTGTCTATTTTACTTTGACTTTATCCTATTTACATGTGTTCAGGCTGAGTCCATGGTTGCAGAGTGGAAAGAGTTTCTTTGGGACGTCCCAGAAGAAAGAGTTGCTTTATGGGGCCACTGCCAAACACTATTTCTTAGACATTCTTTTCCACCACTGCAGGTAGTTCATCTACTACTGTTCTCTATTAGGTTCTGTTTTCCGGGATGAGTTTAGTAATACTCCCTGGTTTCCAATATAAGGTGCTTTTAATCTTTGGTTTTGTAATATTCAAATTCAGTTTTTGCAATTCAATAGAAGAGTTAACTTTATCATTAGTCAACTATCATAAACTGAACCTTGATATGGGACAGATGTAGGATTTATTTAGATGTCTAACAGAGTTTTTCATTTGATCAGGCCAGTCACCATTTAATTCCTTACAGAGTACTATAGTTTCGTGTTTCACTTTGTAGGCGGGACTTTTTTTCCTTAAGCATGCCGAGGAAGCAGAGAAGGATCTCCCTGCCAGAGAGCTTCATGAACTACTAATGTTTTCTCTGCAATGGTTGAGTGGGATGATAACTCAATCTAATCTGTAAGTATCCAATAGTCTTCTTGATTCAAGATTGTAGCTATAATGTCATTATTAAATTATAGCAATATTTTCAGAGTTTATCCCTTGAACCTCTTGAGAGAAATTGAAACAAGAGCATGGCTACTCGCTGTCGAATCAGAAAGTCAAGTGAAGAGTGAAGGAGAGATCACCTCAAAAAGAAACAACCATGATATTACTACTAGCAAGAGCTTAAATATTGTTGAGCACACTGCTAGTATTATAACAAAAATGGATAATCACATATACAGTTTGAGGGGCAAGTATGTGGAGAGAACTGATGCAAGAGATAATAACCTGACATATGTCCAAACTTCTCAAGCTCTTGATTTTGCTTCATTGGCTGCTACTCCAGGAAGTGCTAAAGCAAAACGTAGATCCAAAGGCAATGTTCCATTACGAAAGCCTTTTGTTGATAGCCAAGAGAAAGTCAATGAATTCGAAGGCTTCTTTCAATCCAATCTAAAAGATGATTCACATATAGTAGATGAAAACTTCAAAGTAGAATCTTTCTCCCGGTGGCAGGAAAGAGTGGAACCTGTTGAGCTGGAAAAAGCCATACTTTCATTACTGGAATTTGGGCAAGTAGCTGCTGCTAGGCAGCTCCAACAGAAATTGTCTCCTGGCAACATGCCATCTGAATTTGTAATTGTGGATACTGCTTTAAAGCTTGCTGCTTTATCTACTCCAAACCAAAAGGTTTTAACATCAGCATTGGATGATGGAGTCCGCTTCATCATGCATTCTTACACTCTTAATCATGACCAGCATATTGTTGACCCACTGCAGGTAGTGATTTCACTGATTTGTGTTTACCTTATATTTCTACTATGCATAAAGAAATGTAATTGCAATACTTGAAATAAATACGAAAATGAAAGATTATATGAGAGACTCAAAAGAGAACTATCCAAGAGCCCATGAAGGGAACTCACCAGCAAGATGGAAGTTCTTGCCCACAGCTAACTATGCTGTAATTATTCTGTAAAAATCCTCCCCCTTCGCTTCTCTACAAAATATTAATTAGAGGAAAATTCACCATCTAAAGAAGGTAAGAAATAAATAGTAATAACTAATAAATCAGAAATGCTATAGTAATCCCTTAACTAGTGGTAATTAGGATGTTGATTGATTGCCCTCATTTTTCCCCTTATCCCCGATCCTCCGATTTGCTGGTTAATATCTCTATCACATGTTTTGATGATATGCATTCTATTATGGAAAGGCTACTGAAGAGAACTTGATAGATGCGTTCAGTTCTCGATGGTTGGTCAAAGCATTGTCATTCCATCATGTACCTCCAAAAGTTGATGTGTTTTAGCATCACCATGGAATAGTATTGTTGGGATATATTGTCCCAGTACGAAGCCGGAATGGCAAGGCCCATTTCAGCCTTTCGGGCCTGTTTCGGCCCTTTGGGCCTATTTCGTCCAGCTTGGCCCCAGGGCCGGCCCAGAGCATGGCCCAAAAAATTCGAAGGCCCAAAAAATTCGAAGGCCCAAAAAATATATTCTTTGTATAATTATAACTAGTTCTAAAAAGTTAAAAACTCCCAGGCGGGCCTTACATTGAGGCGTCTCTAAAAAACGCCTCGGCGGCCCAATAAACCGAAGATGCAATTTAAATACGGCTCTGGCCTCTTTTGAAAATATGGAGCCTGGGAGAAGGCTTATTTATAGCACATAGGGATAAAGAATTTTTCCTCTATGACCGGTGTGGGAAAGAAAAGTGAACATAGGAGACTGAAACAAAAGCATTATGCTAAGGAGTATTCTTGGGTTTTTCATGCCCTTTGATTCTTCCAGATCATCATCACTCACCATTCACTGAGAAGGCCCAATATATACTATCAAATTGATCTTTGTTTCATACAAAGTGTTATAAAGTTATCTCAAATATGGCAAATAGGATACACAAAATTGAGCTAGTATTATTAGAAATTATTACAAATTTAAGAGAACAAATGATTATAGTAATTACTTTATTCATAGTAGTTTATATTCAATTTTTGAATTACGTGATCATGACATTGTATTTGTCATATTATAAAGACTCTAGAAATCTAATTTCTTAGAAATTAGAAAAATTAAAATGAAGTAAAGAAATCAAAACGCTTGTTTACGCATGAGTCTCGCCTAAACGGCTAAACTCGTCTAGGCTTTAAAGGTTTAATGCTTAGTCTTGTTGTCTCAACATCTCTTACGCCTTTTAGAACATTGGTTATATACTTATATCTCATTGAAAATATGCTCAAAAGATATCTTTATTAAAAATAAATTGTATCTTGTTAACAAATACTTTTATTTTGACTGTTTTAATTTGTAAATTATTAATAATAGTGTACAGTTTATGACAGAGTACTACATATGTAGTACTCCGTATATCTTTTACTTCACTAAATAAAAGGCCCATTTTTTTTTGCACAGGGTCCTTGTTTTGTTAGGACCAGCCCTGCTTGGCCCGTTAGGGTGAAGAGTCCCCCTTCCCCTTTTCCCCTATAAATAGGAGGGTTTCCCTCCGTGGACAGGATCCCTTCTCTTCTTCCCCAACTTATTTCTTCTCTCTAGAATAGCTTGCAAGACTCCATTAATGGGAGCTCAAATTGTATATTGTAATGGTGAGGAGAGTCTCATGAGAAAGAGAGGGCTTGACATTAGCCTAAAAAGTCCCGTGGTTTTCTCCCTTTCGGGTTTCCACGTAAAAACAGAGCATTCATACCAATTTATATCCATATTTACTATATCGTACGGGATTAAATCCAACACCGGCGCCGTCTGTGGGAACAGTGTTGGATTTAATCCCACACGATATAGTAAATATGGATATAATTGGTATGAATGTTCTGTTTTTACGTGGAAACCCGAAAGGGAGAAAACCACAGGTCTTTTTTAGGCTAATGTTCAAGCCCTCTCTTTCTCATTAGACTCTCATCACCATTACAATATACAATTTGAGCTCCTACTAATGGAGTCTTGCAAGCTATTCTAGAGAGAAGAAATAAGTTGGGGAAGAAGAGAAGGGATCCTTTACATGGAGGGAAACCCTCCTATTTATAGGGGAAGGGGGGCTCTTCACCCTAACGGGCCGAAACAGGCCCGAAAGATTGAAATGGGCCTCGCCATTTGGGCTTCGTACTGGAACGATGTATTTAGCTCCTTAACAGTAACAGAACGGGATAATATATCCCAACAAGCATGTTAGAGCACTAACTTTTAGCTTTTATTTGGTATGAATAATTTCACGGTTATGAGGATGGTGTTAAAACCAAATATTTGATTGCCGGTTCTACTTCATTTATGTTCAACAATATATTTTACCTTTTATTGATATGACTTTGAATTTACAACTTCACAATTCCTAAATACCATTGCAGTGCTTATATAGAACTAATGGACCTACACCTTCTAAGAATACAAAACCTAATCCTTAACCATACTGGAGTAGGAAATATAGCACTACCAAAACTATGAAAACAATGTTATCAGTTCTATGCTTGAAGACTTCCTCTCAAGGTTGAACATCATGCACTCTAAGCTTTTTACACAAACATAAACTCTTAATTGAACTTCATCTCATACCTCCACACTCACCAAAATTCCATGTGAACTCTTCTTGTAATAAACCAGTGCTTACTTGAGCAGTTGACCATCCAACTTTGACCTTCAACTTAACATATACTTAACTGCATCAAATACCGATGCCATCCTATTTATTCATCTTTTTTTCTCCTCTCTGTGCTTCTTTTTCTCCCTCTCAACTGAACCTTATAAAAATAACATCCAACAGTCAACATTGACAGTGGAAATTTGCAATAAACATGAAATTTGCAAGTGCTTGAATGAGTGGAAATTTGACAAGAGTTTTATATGACGATTGCCAAGTAGTAGTTTTATATTTTGCTCTCATGCGCCGGCATGTGGGTCGAAGTTCGCTAATTGTGGAGGCACATGCGGCATGTGATGGATGCAGATTTTAGTTTCTGGCATAGATGCTTTGGATCTAAAGAGGGCTGTGGCATTAAAAAGATTTTGTAAATTTGTTTAGTAAACTGGCTTCCGGTACCATGCTGAATTATAAACTACTACTTTTATTGATATGATTTTGAACTTATGACATCATAATTCGTAGTCTTATATTGCATATATAGAGACACTACAGACCTAAACCGTGTATGAATAAGAAACCTAAACCGTAAGCCTAACTAGAATAGGAAACTATAATACTACTAAATTTTTTAAAACTATATTACTATTTCAATACTTTAACAAGTTGTATCCAGAAATTTTAACTTTTGTAATGCATATCCGTGATTCATGTTTGAGTGATAGACATAACCTTCCTTGCTTCTAGGTATTGGAGAGTTTGGCATCTGTTCCTGCAGAAGGCAGGGGAAGGGGACTCTGTAGGAGGGTGATAGCAATTGTCATGTCCGCAAATATTTTGGGCCTTTCATTTCTCGAGGCATTTGAAAAGCAACCAATTGAAATTTTACAATTGCTCGCTCTCAAAGCGCAAGATTCATTTGAAGAAGCAAATATCTTGGTGCAAACCCATCCTATGCCAGCAGCTAGCATTGCTCAAGTTCTTGCTGAATCTTTTCTGAAGGTAGACTGTTTCCTTTTTGATACATTGAAAATAAACAATTATGTAAATGTGGTAGACTATATTTGTAGGAGGCTTTTCATGGTTAGACTCTTTGGGTATCTATTAGTCTATAAATACTAGGTTCTTGTATTGTGTCTATCAAATTATTTGCAAATTGTGGTATCTCTTGTTTGATTGGTATATCTTAAAATTGTTTTTGATCAAGAGCTACCTTAATCTGGCTTCTTTCCAGTGTGCTTCTAGAAGGGTTACTATCCATGTATTAATGTTGTGAACATGAACTATATTACTGACCTTTGGCAGTATATGTTTCAAAAACCAAAAATTTTCAGTGTATAGCTTTTCACAATCACAAGGAGCTTCATAAGTTTGAAGTCAGGGGAGAGTTTTCTCCCATGTTCGCAATGGATTTTCAAATTTTCAGTGTATACTTTCAGTGCAAGGCTCTTTTTGTTTTATTGATTTCTCATATTTTCCTCTCTTGTTCTTTCCGTAGCACTTGTGACTTGTTAGCTTCTGTCTTGCAATCACGTGCTCTTTGGCACTTGCATGTCCCTTTTAAACTTTTTTGTTGTTGACATTAAGCATATCGTAGTTCAAAAGGGAGGCATACAATCTGAAGTGAATGCCATTAATATGTACGCCTTAATCCTTAACTCTAAGTAAGGGTCCTGTTCCTAGAATCCAAACAAGACTCTCTTTCAGTATTATATCATTATATGTGTATTTGTACAAACCACACTGGATTTATATCATTGTTATGGCAAATACTTAGATCTACAGCCTTTATGATAGCAATGCTGATTTGTGGCATTGATCCATCATTTTATTGATCTTAAATTATTAGGGACTGCTAGCATCACATCGTGGGGGTTATATGGATTCACAAAAGGAAGAAGGACCTGCGCCTTTGTTGTGGAGATTTTCTGATTTCTTGAAGTGGGCTGAGCTTTGCCCATCTGAACCAGAAATAGGTCATGCATTAATGCGTTTGGTGATCACTGGGCAAGAAATACCACATGCATGTGAGGTATATCTTGAACCAATACCTACAATTGAGAATGTTTTTTATACTTGAATTGGGAAATGGGAATTGAGGGTGAGGTTGGTCATTGAAATTTGAATCGGACAAAATCTGTTTTTTGTTAAAGCTAGAACGGGGATAAAAGTGGGGATGCGGAATAAGGTGCTTATTCCTACCAATGTAATATCTTGGAAGGACAGTTGTTGGGGATGGAATAGAATGACCAAAACGCCATTAAACAAGAGAAAGGGAAGAGTAATAGCAATGATAACTCAGTAAATTTGTTGACCACCCTAAGGGTTCTGGCAAAGCTCCACATAGGGCAGGGTTAAGGAAAAAATGTACAAAACTAACATTGTCTAGGAGCGTCTTTGGTTAATTGAGTAACATATAAAGGGAAACAATTACTACTTCCACACTTTACTAGTTAATGTACGTAATTCAACAATCTGAACACAGAAATGTGTAAAGAAAAGTAGAAGTATTCCCATTTGGTTGTTTAATCCAATCCAGGAAATTAATGTTTCAGGTGGAACTTCTTATTCTGTCCCACCATTTCTACAAGTCGTCTGCTTGCCTTGATGGAGTTGATGTTCTTGTAGCTCTTGCGGCAACAAGGGTAGAAGCTTATGTTTCGGAAGGGGATTTTCCATGTTTGGCCCGGTTGATAACTGGAGTAGGAAATTTTCACTCCCTCAATTTCATTCTCGGAATTCTTATTGAAAACGGCCAACTAGATCTTCTACTCCAAAAGTTTTCAAATGCTGTGGATACTAATGCTGGTACTGTAGAGGCCGTGAGGGGATTTAGAATGGCAGTTCTCACTTCACTCAAGCAATTTAATCCCAATGATCTTGATGCATTTGCCATGGTTTGTGGATACTATTTCTTCCCGACTAACCCCCAAAGAGTTATGACTGATACTCATTTTGGTTCTTGACTTTATTTTGGACTCAATCTGGTCATCAGTTATACAATTTAGGACACAATATAGTCCTCATGCATTATTGTTATGACTAAGAAGGGTATTTTCACACGCTTTGACTTAATTCGATCCAAATTTCATAGTAGATTACAAAATTCAGTCCTAAATTTGGTCTAAATTCAGCGAAGTACAGAAAAGTGCATCTTGTCTAGAACCAATTATGTATGAGGACTAAATTAGGTCCAATTTCAATGTTGAGGACCGGGTTGAGTCCAAAGTAAAGGGAAAAACTGAGTAATAGTGTGTAGTGCAAGTGTGCTTTGATGTCTATAAAGTGGGGTGCTCATCTTGATTTGCATCACAGGTTTATAATCACTTTGACATGAAGCATGAAACTGCATCTCTTCTGGTGTCTCGGGCTGAGAGTTCTTGCAAGCAATGGTTCATCCGATATGACAAGGATCAGACTGATGATCTCCTCTCATCCATGCGTTACTTCATCGAAGCTGCAGAGGTGTACTCTTCCATTGATGCTGGCAACAAGACATGTGAGGCTGTTGCTCAGGCATCATTATTGTCCCTTCAGATCCGAATGCCCGACCTGCAATGGCTTTGTCTGTCGGAAACCAATGCACGCCGAGCCCTGGTTGAACAGTCTCGTTTCCAGGAAGCCTTAATTGTTGCCGAAGCATATGGGCTTAACCAGCCCGGGGAGTGGGCCCTGGTGCTTTGGAATCAAATGCTCAGACCCGAGCTCATTGAACAGTTTGTTGCTGAATTTGTGGCTGTCCTCCCTCTCCAGTCCTCAATGCTCCTTGAACTTGCGAGGTTTTATAGAGCCGAGGTGGCCGCCAGAGGGGATCAGTCTCAGTTCTCTGTGTGGTTGACTGGGGGAGGACTTCCAGCTGAATGGGCCAAATACCTGGGGAGGTCGTTTAGGTGCTTGTTGAGAAGATCCAGGGACCTAAAACTGAAGCTACAGCTGGCTACCATCGCCACCGGGTTTGCTGATGTTGTTGAGGCCTGCAACCGTGCATTAGATAAGGTCCCCGAAAATGCAGGGCCTCTTGTCCTTAGGAAAGGTCATGGCGGGGGGTACCTCCCTCTCATGTAAAATATGGATTCGTATGGAACTTTTTAGATACAATAGTAACACGTCCTCCAAGTATAGCTGTGTAGATTATATATTGCTTCTCAAACTTTCTCCCCTAATATAAATAGCTCAGCGGAAGCAGTTGGAGAAGAAATGTTCACCTGTAGCTAGGAGGGGTCGCAAGTGTGGAATATTGATGGTTTTGGCATGTCATTTTTCACCCTTGTTTCCCAAATTCTTTCGGGCCATGGAGCTGGCTATTATTTCTTTTGTAAGGAAAAACTATTAATAGATCAGAGTGAGAGATGTACAATGATTCAATACGGTAATACGTAGTAATTCTTTCCATAACAATGGCTTGTTCACAACGAGGCCATATCATTTGAGCATTTCCGTTTTTCTTCTTTTTTTGAAAACCGGATGTGCAGATGAAATGCCTTAGCTAGTTAACTTGGTATCGTGGATTTAATATCACTTGTTTTTCTTATTTGTTAATATCAGCTATGCGAATATTGAATGAAGAGTTTTTCTTCAAATATTACTATATTAGTCAAATACTAATATCAAGCTTGTGTAATACACGGGCAACTAGTAATTTGTGAATGAAGTTTAATTAAATTTAATTATGATGTATTTTTTCTTTAAAAAGTTATCAAAATAATGTCGTTTAGACAATTTTTTCTTCTACAATACGGAGTATTAAATTACTTTTAATGACAATTGAAACAACAAAAAAGCTCCAAAATATGAGTACTTGTTGGTTTATTCCCTAAATAGGACATTTCATCTTATGTACACCTAACCTAAATTAATTTCTTTATGTCAAACATAACTTTTCAATCTGCATCTCTAGTGTCATACGTTTCTCCAATCTCCTCCATCTCTTCTTTCCCTCCTCCCTAGGTAGTCATGGACTCGGGCTAGGCCGGTTCCGGGCCGGGCCCGGCCGAGCTTTTTTTTTGGGGAACGAAAACCGGAACCGGCCCGGGTAGGCAGCGGTTCCGGGCCGGGCTGGTTCATGTTTTTTTTTGAAAAAAAAATCTTTTGCTTTTCTAGGGATGGATTGGGACGGGTCGGCACGACTCGGGACCCGGCCCGGTACTGTGCAGCCCCGACCGGGCCTAACCGGGACTGGGGGCCTGAATCGGGTGGTAGAGGGGTGGGCTATGGGCCTTGCAAAATGTGAACCGGCCCGGCTGGCTTGGGACCGGTCCGAGCCCAATTTTTTTCCCCCATTAATTGGCTGCTAGGCGGGTGGGTCTAGCTGGTTTGGGGGGGTTGATTTGGGGGGTGGTGGTAGAATAAATTCGAAAAAAGACATTTTAAACAAACGTAGACCCGGTCCGGGTACCAACCCATGTTGGTACCGGGCCTTCATCCCAAAACCCCAGCCCCATCCCAACCCGTACTGGTAGCATGGCCCGAACCGGGCCTGGTCCATGCCTACTCCTCCCTTGTATCTAACATTTATCCTCTCTTACACATCTATTTCTAGATTTCTTGTCTGACTAATTTTCCCTTCTCCGCCAAATTACAAAGGTATGAATGGTGAATTTTCTCCTCAACTCCGGCCACTGGTGAGCGTCGGCGATTTTGGAAGTAAATTTTAATTTTCTTCTCTTCCTCTCTTCTCCCTTCTTCTCCCATCTTTTCCTTCCTTCTACGGTAGATCCTTTTGTTTTTTGCAAGCGTGAAGCTTGTCCTCTTATACAACCAATTTTTATTTATGTATTTTTGCCAGAATTGTCTTCTCTTTTCATATCTACTTCGGTCTGCTTTTCTTTGCATTCTAGTTTCTCTCATTCAAATTTCTTTTCTTTTTTGTTCTTTTGACTTTTTGTGTTATCTTCAACATTATAGATTACAATTCTTCACACTAATTTTGTTTGAATATGAAATTGCTATATTCTACACTATTTTAAGGAAATTGTTATGGTATTATGATGAAAATATTACTCCTTTACAAATACAATACTAACAATATATTATATTGAATATAATGACATATTTTTCCATGTGAAAATATTATCTCGACACAGTGCCATTTTATACACTCATTCCATCGGGATGGGAAATACATTATTAATAACGCCATGAATGCCATGTTTTTATCGAATAAAAAAGCTTTTTCTACACATAGTGTCATTTGTATGGCACTAAGTGCAGGGGCAATGACAATATCATTCCCATGGCAAATACAATATTTAGATTGTCATGAAAATGTCAAGAGGGAAATTTATTACACAACCCACGGTTAACAAATAAAGTATAAAATATTTTTATAGTTTTTTAGACAATGAATGAATTGAAATAAAATATGAGATTTGATGAAAAACAAAGGGTATATCAAATGAATTTAGTAACCTTGTCCAAGAATGCCAGTTTTGTAAGCTGACATTTGAGCCTTTATATTTGTACACTTCTTTATAACGAGTAGAACAAAAATGAGAATGGGAACTTCTCACGCACATGAGATTTTGGCTGGGCAATTCAAAATAAAACTAAAAATCACACTCAGGGGCAAGCAGACTTGTTGACGCAATACTTGAATATTTAGCTGGTCTCAAAAGACCCAGTAATTTTTGATAATATACTACATTTGTCTCCTATTAATCTTTCAACTTTCATTCATCGTCCTTCGCAAAATAACCTTCACTTTTCTTTTAAGGCAAAAAAATCGTAGTTCATGTCATTTCTCTCTATCTGCTCTGCAGAATTCTCGACCACACAATTCTCACTTTTTTGATCCGGTTGTGAATGCTGATAGGTTTGTTAAACACTAGGGAGGTGTTTACTTCACTGCTAAAGTCACAGTTAGGTTAGTAAGACAGGTGAAGTAAACACGCACGCTGCTTAAAAAGCCGCTTACTAACCGAAAGAGGTGCTTAAAGTGCCGCTTATTAAGCATACCACCCCCCCATGTATTAATTAAGCGGCACTTTAAGCTTTTTCAGTTTCCGAATTTACCCCTTGCCCTTACCCTATTGTTACCCATGCCCCACTTACCTACCCGGCCCCACCTCGACCCCAACCCCACCCTACCCTACCCCTACCCGACCCCACCCCTACCCTACCCACACCCAGACCCCACCCTACCACCTACCCCACCCCTACACTACCTATCCGACCCCACCCTACACGTACCCCACCTACCCGACCCCACCTTACCCCTACCCTACCCTACCCTGACCCAACCCACCCTACCCTACCCTACCCTTACCCTACCTACCCGACCCCACCCCTACCCTACCCTGATCCAACCCAACCCTACCACATCATACCCCTACCCGACCCCACCATACCACTGCCCTACCTACCCGACCCCACCCCTACCCTACCTACCCGACCACACACCTACCCCTACCCTACCTACCCCACCCTTTACCCACCTACCCAACCCCACCCTACCCTGACCCTACCCATACCCCGCCTTAACCCCCACCCTACCACTACCCTACCTACCCAACCCCACCCTACCACTACCCTACCTACCCAACCCCACCCCTACCCTACCTACCCAACCCCACCCCTACCCTACCTACCCGACCCACCCTACCACTACCCGTACCCTTACCCCACCTACCCCACCCCACCCTATACCCCGACCCCATCCCTTACCCCACCCTATACCTAGGGTGGTGGGGTCGGGGTGGGGCCGATGTGATAGAGGCGCTAGGGGCAGGGTAGGTGCAGTGGGGTCGGGGGTAGGGTTGCAGCAGGGTGGGGTTGGGTAGGTAGAGTAGGGGTAGGGTGGGGGTCGAGTAAGGTAGGGTAGGGTAGGGGTAGGGGCGGGGTTGGGGTAAGGTGGGGTCAGGGTGGGGTTGATGTGGTAGGGGCATATGGGGTAAGGGGTAGGGCCGCGGTAGTGTAGGGTGGGGGTCGGGTAGTGGTAGGGTAGGTACGGTGGGGTCGGGGTAAGGTAGGGTGGGTAAGGGGTTAGGGTGTGGGTACACATATTATATTATATTATATACTTGTGTTCATGAATGTTTGTGTGTGTATATATGTATAAGGTTATTTTGGACATTTTAATGTTAAGCGGTGTTTTAAACCGTTTGAAGTAAACACGGTCTTACAACATTGTTTATTTTATGCGCCGCTTATTAACACGGGTCTTAATAAGCACCGTTTAATAACCGGTGAAGTAAACATGTCCTAGGTCTTGCCAATATTTTAACTTTGCGTCTTACCAATTGTAACTTTGCAGGTTGTTCAGGGTGTTTACTTCCAATAGCACTATTATATCATATAGGTAAAAGGCAAAGGTTTTGTGCAATCAAGAATTAATCAGAATGCATCGTAAATTACTATGTGCTAATTATAATTATCGGTGCTAAATCAAAGAATATTCTTTCAAATATAATCTCAACATTCATTAGCAATTGTATTATGTCATTCTAAAAATATTATAAAAAACATTTTGGTGTTCTTCGATTTTATTATATTACGATGATTATAATAATGTTTAGTAGTACCTAGGTTTTGTAATCCTTATTATATCAAATACTCCGTATCATATAAATTAAAATGAAAATAAGTTTAATTAAAATATAGATGTGTTTTTTTAAATTACTACATCTTAGGATATATATATATATATATATATATATATATATATATATATATATATATATATATATATATATATATATATATATATATATATATATAAGAGATCAAATGCAAACTCATCTTAGTGTGCTAACCTACAAACCTAATCCTAATCCTCCATCTAATTATGATAACTGTTCGGTGCTACAGATTTGAAGACAATAAATTTATTATACATGAGGGTGCTTTAGTCATTTGACCTAAATCTAATAATGGAAAAAATCATGTTCAATTACATAACCGCCTACCCTCGTTAAATCCCTTCCATCTTTGCGACTCCTTTTCCCTTCCATCTCTGTGGTTACTAGCTATAAGCTCCTTCATCTCTCTACTTCTCTTCGATTGCCACTAATATCAAAGCCTCTGGTTAATCTCTTTCGATCGCAGTTATCGAACGCCATTGAATCAGGTATTCCTTCTCTCTTTGAAGTGTATATTAAACATTTGATTACTTCATTTTAATTTGATTGAAGTGTATATTAAACTTTGATTGTGTCATCTTCCTTCTCTCTCTTTTTCGTTTAATTACTTCATTTTAATTCGAAATTTTGTTTTACATCTCTGGCCTTCATTAACTTCCTTTTTGTTCATGCCAATTTCTAAACAATTTATAGGGCCACAGAGAAGGGGTGATTTTGCTTATAGGGATTTCGGTCACAAATGTGTTCTGAAGGGAGGGGTACGGTGCTTGAGGATGTACAAGTTTAATTAGCAGGCTATGCAACCAATTTCCAAAGCATTGGGGGTGATTTTTTGTGATATAGATCCAGGCATCAAGTTCTACAAAGAGATTGCAGTTGTAGTTTGTCCCATAATGATAGAAGGAATTACCTCCTAAATAAATCGGATTTTATAATATGAATAAGTTTATTTAGTTACGTTGTTTTGTTATGTTTTCATGTATTGGTATGTAAAATGTAAACAAAATTGAGAAATGAATCTATTTTTACCTTTAATTTTAT